TTGGCTTAAAGCTCAACATTCAGAAAACTAAGATCATGGCATTTGTTCCCATCACTTCATGGCAAATAGATGGAGAAACAGTGGAAACAGTGACAGACTTTATTTTTTCGGGCTCCCAAATCACTGCAGATGGTGACTGCAGCCATGAAATTAAAAGATGCTTACTCCTTGGAAGAAAAGCTATGACTAACCTAGACAGCATATTAAAAAGCAGAGACATTACTTTGCCAACAAAGGTCTGTCTAGTCAAGGCTATGGTTTTTCCAGTAGTCATGTATGGATGTGAGAGTTGGACTATTAAGAAAGTTGAGCACTGAAGAATTAATGCTTTTGAACTGTGTTGTTGGAGAAGACTCTTGAGAGTCCCTTGGACTGCAAGGAGATCCAACCAGTCCATACTAAAGGAAATCAGTCCTGAATATTCATTGGAAGGACTGATGTTGAAGCTGAAACTCCAATACTTTGGGCACCTGATGTGAAGAGCTGACTCATTTGAAAAGACCCTGATGCTTGGAAAGATTGAGGGCAGGAGGAGAAGGGGACGACAGAGGATGAGATGGTTGGATGGCATCACCGACTCAATGGACACGTGTTTTGGTGGACTCTGGCAGTTGGTAATGGACAGGGAGGTCTGGTGAGCTGCAGTCCGTGGGGTTGTGAAAAGTCTGACATGACAGAGCACCTGAATTGAACTAGGACAAGTAACTTCTCTGTGTTTTTTGTATCCTCATCTGAAAAACAAGATTTATAATCATATTACCCTTTAATACTATATAAGTATTAAGTGGGCTCAGGCATATAAAGTACCTAGAACAGTGACCAATAAATTTGAACTGCTATTATCCCAGGCTTCTGGACAGAGGGCTTGTGTGGCATATGGCTGACGTGATGGAGCATCTTCAGTCCACGGGTTCCCCACCCTTTGGAGATGGCTTGAGCAACAGACATACTAACTATGCCATGTAAAGAAACTTAGGCAAGAAATCAGTGGGCAAACTCCAGCTCAGCGACCTGTCCTGCCCAATTGGGAATCTTTAGGGCTTTCCCAAATGCTCATAAAACTTTTAAAAAAAAATTAAATTATCATAAAACTTTTGTTAAAAGCAGGGAAGGGAGCCTACTGTGTACCAAGGATGGAATGAGGATCTACCAAATGGGACAGGAGGTCGGTTTCTGGAATGATATGTTAACAAGCCCCTATTGCCACAGACCTAGAGCTGCACCTTCCAGTCTGGCAGAGATGAAGCTGATTCTCCGCCTGTTGGGTTCAGCTGCTTCTGAGTCATCTGTCTGGGAAGAATGTTATTTAATTGACCTGTAAACTCTCATCAGGAGTCACTTCCTAAGTAAGGCAGAGGACTGGGGCCAAATCCTGTCAAAGGAGAGTTGCTCAAAGGGGCTTATAAATGACCTGTGCTGTCACTCCCATTTCACAGATAAAGAAACTGAGACCAAGATGGAGAAAAGAGGAGAAAATGGAAAATTGGCCACAGTATTCCCAATGGCCATCTAAGATTGACATTGTTATCTGCTTTTTGCCAATGAAGAGCTCATGAGAAGAAAGGCATAGCTGGTGACAGGGGCGGGGTTTGCACCGGTCTCCTGACTCCTTCACCCACTTCATTTTTCTTTTCACTACACTATGAGAGCCACAGATGGACAGTACAGTAAAAAGACTCAGAGCCTTCAGCTGTAAACTTTTGTTAAAAGCAGGGAAGGGAGCCTACTGTGTACCAAGGATGGAATGAGGATCTACCAAATGGGACAGGAGGTCGGTTTCTGGAATGATATGTTAACAAGCCCCTATTGCCACAGACCTAGAGCTGCACCTTCCAGTCTGGCAGAGATGAAGCTGATTCTCCGCCTGTTGGGCTCAGCTGCTTCTGAGTCATCTGGGAAGAATGTTATTTAATTGACCTGTAAACTCTCATCAGGAGTCACTTCCTAAGTAAGGCAGAGGACTGGGGCCAAATCCTGTCAAAGGAGAGTTGCTCAAAGGGGCTTATAAATGACCTGTGCTGTCACTCCCATTTCACAGATAAAGAAACTGAGACCAAGATGGAGAAAAGAGGAGAAAATGGAAAATTGGCCACAGTATTCCCAATGGCCATCTAAGATTGACAGTGTTATCTGCTTTTTGCCAATGAAGAGCTCATGAGAAGAAAGGCATAGCTGGTGACAGAGGCGGGGTTTGCACCGGTCTCCTGACTCCTTCACCCACTTCATTTTTCTTTTCACTACACTATGAGAGCCACAGATGGACAGTACAGTAAAAAGACTCAGAGCCTTCAGCTGGAGAGCGGACTCTCAAGTGGTAACACTGATAGCCTAGAGGAGCAGTTGAGAGGTGGAGAACTATTTTAAGCCTCAGGAATCATCCCATTTTGACCCCATCTCAATGTGTAAGTAATGCTTACCCTGGGCCCACTCTTCTCTCCCATCTTCTTTTGTCCTCTGGAAGATACTGGCTGTTGCCTTTCTGCCAGCTATTCCGTTCCTCTTCTCTGCTTGAAAAAACTTCTCACATGGGAGCGATCAACGTGTAGATGATGGGCGAAGAAGCTGTGAGGGTTGACAGGATTATTCAGGGAACAGAGGGCCCTGCTTCAGAACCTTAAGGATGAGCTTCCATTGAGAGCAGTTGGTAGATGAGGAGTTGGTAGATGAATCTGCAAAGAGGTGGCCTGAGATGGAGGTGGAGAACCAAAAGTGGTCCAGTGGAGGCCAAGGAGACCAAAGTCTGGATCAGGGTGGGAGGGTTGAGTCACAATGGGCCTGGAGGAGGGTGAAGGCTGAGGGAAGTCTCAGGGGCTCAGGGATGCCATGGCTAATGCCAGTGAAAGTGGTTTTGTGGGTAAGGGAGGCAGTACCCAGAAGATGGGTACTGAGATATGGTAGAAGCTGAGAAATTCCAGGCAGCAAGAAAATTTCCCTTGATAGGAAGGAGTGATTCAGGACACTGGGATGGAGGAAAGAGGAGAAGGGTGCTAGGGAAGGCATTTCCCCAAATGGGAGCCAGTTGAGCAGGCTTTGGTGGTGGTGGTGGTTTAGTCGCTAAGTCGTGTCCAACTCATGCGACCCGATGGACAGTAGCCTGCCAGGCTCCTCTGTCCATGGGATTCTCCAGGCAAGAATACTGGAGTGGGTTGCCATTTCTTTCTCTACGAGCAGGCTTGAAGACTGCACAAATAATGGAAGCAGTTAACACTGGCTATATGACACCCCTACTTGAAGTGTTTTAAAGGCAGTACCTCATTTTATTCCAGTAACTGTTATGATTCCAGTCTTTCAGACATGGAAATTGAGGCACAGACAGGAGAAGCAGTCTGCTCAGCTCTTAAGTAGGGGAGCAGGGATTCAGAGCCACGCAGTCTGACTCTGCAGAAGGGGAGTGAGCCCCTAGGGAGAGGAGATCGCAGATCCTAGAGAGCTTGGGCATGATTGATCTAGCGATGGGCTGGGAGGGATGGGAAGGGATGGGATCAATAGTCCAGGTGGAGAGGTTGCACCTTGGCCAAGTAAAAGAATACATCTTCCTTCGAGACGGTGGGGGGTGGGGGGAGGATGAAAGGATGGATGATAATGATGTGGGGAGTCTCTGAGGCAGAGGGAAGAAAGTCAAGGCAGTTCATATTAGATGACCTTGATCTTCCCGGGAAAGTAGGTAGCAACCTAGGTGAGGAAAGCTGGTCTTTCTCACCACTTTCTTTTTTTTTTTTTTTGCTTCCCTGCCCAACCCCCTCCTCTTGTTTAGACATGGAAGAAACAACCCAGGTTATATATTCTCATCTAAGTTGGACATTGATTTGTAAATGACGAATTAGGCTATTGTTAATAAGCAGAGGAAGGGGAAATAAAAGATTGTCTGAGGAAGGATCCTGAGAGTTAAGGAAGAACGTGGAAACGTGAAGGCACAGAGGAGGTAAGTACTGTTTTAATTTTATTTCAAGGACCACTAACAGGGACTACAAAACTTGGTGGCATTATAGTTTAGTTGTACTGCTCACAAGGAGGAAGGAAACAGAAATGGGGATTCCTTGAGTTTGGGGTCTAAAGTTAGAGATGGCTTGTGGTGGACGGATTGGAAAGCAGAATTTCCTTTTTAATTTAGTTTCTTTCCTTTTTGAAAAAAACTAAGTCAACACATAACAGAAACTTAGAAAGTACAGAAATATATGTAAAGGCCAAAAAAATCACTCTGCCTCTGAAAACCCATTATTACTATTTTGTAGTTTTTTCTATTGTTTATGCATTAAAAAACTGAAATTTTACCATATCATACTTTTACTGTATAATTGTACTGTTGGTATTTTCCATGTCACTAAAACTTCTGCTAAACCTACTTTCGAGAACATAAACAATGGGCAATTTAAATTATTAATAGTTAATTTTGTTAACACCGCTCATAAATGTAAACATGCTTTTTAATGGCAGGAGAGCAGTCCTTCACATGGATTCATTGCATTTTTTAGCTCTTCCTGTCATGCTGGACAGTAGGCTGTTTCCAGTTGTTTGCTTGAGTATTAATACTCCAAGGAACATCTCCATGCACAAACCTTTGTTTGTTGACAAAGGCTCTCCCTGGGCACACATGTACACGTGCACTTTCTTCAGTTTCAAGGGACTCATTGATCCACAGAGGTCTCGGGCTGATGAACACCAGATTAAGAACATCTGCTTTGCAGACCATTAGTAGCTTTGGCCTTCTTTCCAGACAGTTTAGCACTTTGGGGACCCTTTTCAGTACTAGAAATTTCAAGCCACATTCAGGATAACTGTAATGGTCTGAGTCTGCCCTTTTCAGGCAAAACCCCTGCACCCATAGCTCCTTAATGCACATCAATGGGAGATATTTTAGTCTCAGCACTGGGGCTCAGGCTGCGCATTTGGACCATTTGATAAGTTAAGGAAGAGTGCATGAGAGAGAAAATACATACACGTCCACATATATTTTCCAGATACACACGTACTCTTACACACATACATAGACACACACATGACTCTCATATCTACACACACATATTCTTCAATGCCACCACATGCACGTATATACATACATATATTTCCAGATACACATATCTTTTGTACACATAACACATCACTCTCTCATACCTACACTCACACATACATATATTCCCAGATATGCACATACTTTCCTTTAGAGCTAGTCTTCCACACCCTCCAGCTCAGCCCTGGGACTTCCGTTTCCTTCTTCACTTGGTCTTGGCCTAGATCCCCCTTCCCCCCCCCCCTTTTCCTTCCACCCAATAGTAAATATACCCTCCTGAGTTGGAGCACATGAAAAAAGAAGCACAGGAGGAAAGTGGTAGATAAATTTAACAAGCATTAAAGTTAATATATAATTTAAATATGTATAAAATTATTCCGTGCATCGATTAGAAAATGGGCTGTTGACCATTTCAAGGCAACAATCAATTTCAGAGTTCACAGGTCAGGTCAAGTTTCTTTCTAATGATCCACAGAAGCAGCAGCATTAGGGAGATAATGAACTCCATGGGATTGCAGACGTGATCTATGGCCGGGTGGCCGTGGGGCCGGCCAGTGGGCCGAGTTCTCTCGTGGGCCCGTGTAAAAGCTTGGCTGGGTGACAACCCGTGATGTAATCAGGCGTTCTCTGCGATGACTTGTCTGTTTTTTTTATTGTTTTAAAGACGGCGTGGTTGGCGAAACTCTGCAGTTGTCAACGGGCGGCTGTGGTGGAACCCTGTGAACTTGGCGCGGAGAGCTTCCGCTTTTCTCGGAAGCGGAGGTGGGTGGGGCCAGCCCTGTCCATCACCTGGCGTGGCAGGGCCTGGGCAGCCCCGGGAACAAGCAAATTGAGAACATGTGATCTTGCTGGTCTGCTCCAGGGGCATCCCCCAAATCCCCTGGTGTTTCTACAGATGGAGGAGGAGGGCATTTTCCAGGGGTACCCGTAGGTCCCTACTTAAAACTGAGAGGGACCAAGGTTTGGGGGAACGGAGGGTAGAGGTGCTGGAATGGGACTGCCGGCCCAGAGACAATGTGAAGCAAAGGCAAGGTGAGCGGCTAAGGGCGGCTCGGCACAGCCTCCAGTCCCCTTCTGATTTGGGAGGCCAGGCAGAACACCCTGGCTCCTGGCTTTGATAAGGAACCCAGACCTGCCTTCTGATCACTGACAAGAGACACTAGATCCCAGAGCGTCCATCTTTCATCTTGGGAGGAGTTTGTTTTTTTCAAAGGCCTTGAGATTTTGTGATGTAATGAGATGCTCTAGAGCTCACTATACCTGAGCCGGTCCAGCCTCCCTGTTATCCTTTGAAGGGCGGTCAAGGAGGTGCTCCATCCTGCAGCAGTCCCTAGCCTTTTTGGCACCAAGGACTGGTTTTGTGGAAGACCATATTTCCACCAATCGGAATCAGAGATGGTTTCAGGATGATTCAAGCGCATTACATTTATTGTGCATTTTCCTTTTACTGTTATTACGTCAGTTCCATCTCAGATCATCAGGCATTAGATCCTGGGGGTTGGGGACCTCTGCTCTAAAACAGCTCAGGAGGGTCTATTCTTGATGCCTGAAACTCTTCCGTGAGAGACACATTCATTTTATTAACTGTCACACTCTCTGTAAGATGTGAATCTGCCCCACAGGTCACTGGTTTACCTGAGGTTAATCAGGTGACACATGGTCCCAGGGAGGGGGCAGAAGTGCCGGAGGAGGTTGTGGAGGAGCCCAGGCTGCCTGTCTTCTCTGCCATGGTGTGAACAGGGGCTGTTGTTCAACCTTGAGGGTTCCCTGAGGGTTTGCATTGACCGTGAGCCCCTGGCAACACTCTTCTGAAAACTGATGAAGGAAGTGGGGAGGGAGAAGGGAGGTGGGGGAGAGAAAGGAGAGGGAAGGAGGGGAGATGTGGGAAAAGAGAGTCACCTTAAGTTGTCTTGGCCACTTTCAAATCTCCGTGCGTTTATACATGCTCTTTCCTGTTATTTCTGCTGCCCCATTTCTGCCATGTCTGTCCAGCAAACTCCTGGTCTTCCCTGAGATCTTTCTTCTAGAGTTGTGTTCCTGCGCATCCCTCTCTTCCACAGTTAACGATGGGTTCTCTGCATTCCCCCTGCTTCATGTATAATGCATGGATGCACATGATCAGTGGATGTCATGATTCTTTCACTCCCTGCTTGACTGGAAGCCCCTTGAAAGCACACGGGAGGCTCTCAATACATGCTTGTTGAGTTGAACAGAGGCAGAGAACACTTGCTGCTGGGGTTCCTTCCATTCCAGGGGTTTCCAGCAGGCCTGGGTGAGCACATCACACCTAAGGAGGCCAGAATTGAGGGTTGTTTCTGAAGGTGAGTGAGGCAGGAGACAGGGATGTCTGTAGAAGCCCAGGCCTGGGCTCAATGACACAATCAGCGCCTCATCCCTCTAAAAGCTTTTCAAAAGGATGGAATGAGGCTACAAACACCCAGGCAAGAAAATAGGGCAGAAGGGCAGCCCGTGGCTTTCAGGGCATCAGGAAGTTCATCTCTCCTTTCCTATGGATGATGGGTTCAAAGGTGGCAGGGTTCAGTTGTCTGGATGTCTAGAAGACTCCCAGATTCCCCTTTGTTCCACTTGGCAAAACTTTTGGCGCCCTCCATCCCTGTCTTGTTGAGTCTCTGCCTTGTTTAGGGCTCAGGAGGCCTTGGAATTTCAGGCTCTTGTCCTCAGGGGCAACTGTGACCCTGGAAGGCAGGCCTAGTTCAATCCCTACAAGACAGACCCATCTGGAAGGAGATGTGGGTAGACAAGAGAGCAGTCAGTGAGCCTGAGATGCTGACAACCAACAGCCCATGAGAGCCATTTGGGAACAGTTGCTAATGAAGATGTGACGTCAGCACACCGTGGCGGGATTTATGTAAAAGTTCCACTGAGGGGGCACCTTTGCCCCATCCCCCTCCTACGTTTACCAACCCGTTGACTGTGCCCTAGGGCTCAGCTGCTGGGGGAAGGGGCCCTTGTGCTAAGTGACGACTGGGCACCCCACGTGGTGGTGGGAAAAATGGCGTGTGCTAAGTGGTTCGGATCATTTTTGGTCGTCATCCCAGGAGGTGTCAAGAGCCCCACAAACAGGTTTGTAACAACCTCCTTCTTCCCCTCATTAATCTCGTGAAGTGGAGGGAGGGAGAGAGCTGGGCGCACAGCAGTGCGTGCATTACTGAGTTAACCAGGCATGTAATTAGCGCTCAGGTGCTCGGCAGAGGACAAAGCGCTCACGATTAGTAACGTTTAGCTTTAATGCCCTAAGTTGGGGGAGCCACCGTGCTGCCCAGGCACAGAGCTGCCCCGTTGTCCACAGTCTCCAGTGTCTCCTCCCTCCCTCCCTTTCCCTCTCTCCTGCTCATGGATTTCAATGTTTGGGGCATTTGTGGATGTTTATGGAAATTTATGTGACTGTTCCGAGTGCTGTAAATCATGTTCTGACAAGGAAAGTCCGTGATCCTGGTGCTGGGGTAGCAAGGAGCCTGCAGGAGCCAGTTGTGGGAGCAGTTGGTCTTCTTTTCTATTTTAGAATCTTCTGTGAATTAGATGGAGATGAATGCTGTTATTAATTGCATGTTAATGGGGCCTTGGTTATAAAGCCATCTTTGTAATCCGTGTGGGGAATTTGTCTACCAGGTGACACCACGTTCCAGCGAAGTGCTTCTGCTGCAGAAAGAGATGCCTGAGGTTTTAGAGCCAACGGTACCTTGGAGATGGTCAGGACCCTCCCCTTCAGTCTGTTGTTGGGGAAACTGAGGTCCACATGGGGAGCTGTTTGTCTGTAATCATGGAGGTAGTGGCGGAGTTAGGACTCTGGCTTCTCAACACCACGTGGCTTTCACTGGCCTCACTGAGTAGGATCTGACCTCATCCCATTCCGAGTCATGATGGTGAAGAGCCAGAGATCTGGAAGATTTCGTTATGTCAGCAAGCCCAGTGAGGGACTGATACACTTGCGACAGGGTCGTCCTCTGTAGTGGGGAGACGAGATACCTGCCCTGTCCTCTACATAGAGGTGTCTTGTTGTGCTCTTAGGAGCCTCAGGTGACAATGTGAGTGAGCAAAAGGGCTGCATGATAATCTCTCAGGTGGAGAGAGCTGCTTATTCATGGATGTGGGGAGAGCAGCAGTTTAAGTGGAGTGGAGTGACTGTCCCATGCTGTTCCAGTTATGTCTCCTAGAAAGAAGACAGAGGACAGGCGGCGGAAACAAAAGCAGAGAGACTAATCGGTTTCTTGACTATTTCATTTCTTTGGGAAAAATGTACCAGGTATCTTCAGAGTTTGGATGTCTAAAGCTGGCTACCTCATCACCTAAGTATGAAGTTCTGGCCTCAGTCTTCCTTTCCAGCCTCATCTCTCTCTTTTTTTTAACCTTAAATTTTTTTATTGAAGTGAAATTTATGTAATACAAGCTTAACAATGAACAAAGTGTGTATTTCAGTGACATTTAATATGTTCACAATATTTTGTAATTATCACTATCCTGTTTGAAACTATGTAGTTCCCCAAATTGAAAACAACCCAAACGTCCATCAGTGGATAAATGAATAAACAAAATATGATATATCCATATGACTGAATATTATTCAGCCATAAAAGTTGAAGTACTCATACAACCAGCAATGTGGATAAACTTAGTAATCATGCTAAGTGGGAAAAAAAAACAGATACAACAGGTCACATATTATATAGTCCAGAGTAGGCAAATCCATAGAAACTTTATAATTTCTTATATTATGAGTGATGTCTGATTTTTCCTGTAAGAATTTTGTACAGGGTCTGTACTTACTCATTGGTTTTATCAGTCCTTAACATAGAGAGCCCACTGAATCAGTTAAGCTTTTTATCAGATTATCAGAGAAGTAAGATAACCAGGATAAGTATATGTGTATCTGTAAGTATATGTACATATGTGCTAACTCACTTCAGCCATGTCTGACTCTTTGTGACCCTATGGACTGTAGCCCACCAGGCTCCTCTGTCCATGGGATTCTCCAGGCAAGAATGTGGAGTGGGTTGCCATTTCCTCCTCCAGGGGATCTTCCCATCCCCTGGACTGAACCCACATCTGCTTTGGTAGCCGGGTTCTTTACCACTAGTGCCACCTGGGAAGTTCATGCATATATATATATATATATATATATATATATATAGGCATTGATCGTAAAGGTTTAACCTTACATAACTATGGAAACAGAAGAAACAGTGCATGTGAGGTTTAGTGTCTGAATCTATGCTGGAACCTGATACCACAGGCAGATGTTTGGGAAGAGAAGATGCAGCCTCATCTCTTACAACTTCCTGGTAAGTATCTTCCGCAACAGGCAAGCCAATTAATTGTCTAGAGCATGGATTGCTTTTTATTTGCTACCATTGTCCACATCTACTCTTGTTTTGGGAATACTCCTCACTAGCCAAGCCTGGTCCATTTCAAATTTCACCTCTGCCAGGAAGCCTTCTCCAACTGGTGCTTTTTGCAGGAAGCACCCCTGGAATCTGGAAGCCTTCATCTTCCCAGGACATTGGATGGGGTTGATTTACGGCCTCTGCTGCTGGACTGCCCACCAGGGAAAGGCCACGTGGGGACCTTCTGAGGGTGTGGGTGGGAGCAGAGAGGGGTAAGAAGATGAGGCTTAGGCTTGGTCTGTGGTTCCAGGCCAGCACACAACTTTGTCAGCTTCAGGCATTTGAACTTGAATTGTTACCTAGAAAAGGTGGTAGTAGGTGACAATGGGCTTATTCCTAGAGCATAAACACTCTTAATCTGCTTTTTATTAATTTGCATGTGTATGCATATTCATCCCTAAAGGGTTTATTTTCCTAGTGGCTCAGACAGTAAAGAATCTGCCTGCAATGCAGGAGACCCGAGTTCGATCCCTCTGTTTGGAAGATCCCCTGGAGAAGAGAATACCCACTCCAGTTATTTTTGCAGAATGCCATGGATAGAGGAAACTGGCAAGCTATGTCCCATGGGGTCACAAAGAGTTGGACACAACGGAGCGATGAACACAGCAACTTATGTAAGTCTCTAGTGTTTGAATCATATCAGAAAATTCCAGTGAGTTCTAGATAGCCAGTGTCTCCCCTTCCCTGAGTTAAAACTGGCAGCTTCTATTCCATTTAGCTTTTATGCAAAACCATGACAACAGCTTCATGCCACGTTAGGACCAGACACGACTCTGAGGCTCTTGTTACTGAGTGGTGTGCCAAAAGTTTATTATTTGGGTACTCATTATGCCCTTAGTCTCCCATTCTTCAATCTGGTCCTTTTGCTGACACACACTCTTTAATTAAAAGCATCCTGCAGACACCGCAACGGTGATTCTGCATTCAGCAGTGGCGATGCTGGAGGATGACGGGTGGGAAGGTGGAGGGAAATGGCTGAGGCCCGTAACTTAATTCCTGTGCATTAGCCTGTACTGCATCTGCCCTCTTCAATCTTGGCTTCTCTGCGAGTGAAACAAGCAGGATTAGCACATAAGAGAAGCCGGGGTCATAATTACACCCTGTGCGACAGGGCAGCAGAACCACCAAATAAATCCCTGGACAATTATTAAAATGGCCCAATGCATTACACAAATTAGAACAGGCTGGGACTTTTGGGGAGAAGGGAGGGGAGTGAAGAGCCAGTATTTAAGTGTTCTTGTAAGCCATCTAAGATATTAATGTTGCAAAGCTCCTTATGAATATTTAAGAACATAAAATGGAGCTTCGCTGCAGCCCCACAGCACCACAGAAGCCTGTAATACGGTTGAGCCCACTTAAGAAGGCAGAGCCTGAGTCCACGGCAGATTGAAGGCAGATGAAGCAGGATGGGCCCATTTGCAGGGGAAATGTTTGGCACAGGCCAGGGTAATGATGTTGCATTAGATCCTCACAGAAGAGGATTTAGTTAAAGACTCACAACTTTTATTGGTGGGACTCCCTAGGGATTATTAACCCATTTCCTCACTCCCCAGTGATTTTAGAAAATTGACACGGTCCCTGAGTTTATCACAGACCCAGTGAAGTCTGCGTTTACATATCCCATTCAAATCCAGGTTGCACAGAACCTTCTTGGACACAGAGTCCTGGGACCTCTTGGCTGTCTGGGCCCTGATTTCTCAGAGCTGTGTTTGTGGCTCTTTTAGGCTGGTTCCTCTGGGAAGACAATTGGCTCCAGGTTTTTCTTAGGAATGGATAGTGTCCCCTGGATAAAAGGGAAGGGCTGCTCGGTGGAAGAAGGGTCGGTCTTCAGAAACCAAGCTAACTGATTTCTTTTCCAGGATCATACCTGGAGCATCCTTGTGTTGGGAATGGGGTGTGGACTCCTCTCTTGTAGGTGGCTGGAGGTGGAGTCAGTGGGACTAGGGAGGGTGTTGGGTAAGGACCCCGAGGTCTGGGTTCTGGCTTCAGCTCAGCTAGTGGTCTGACTTCCTATCCCACTTTTCCCACCTGTCAAATGGGAATAATATTCTTGGCAAGTCTATCCATCAATGGAAGAATAGATGTGGGCACACTCAGGAAGAAGGATACTATAGAATATGCCATCTTCTGTAGATGTAGGAAGAGTATTATTCCTTCTGTTTTTTACTTCTATTTACTTCTGTTTTTTCATGTATTTGCAGTGGTTCTGCTTTGTCCCACCTTTTCTGCCTCCAGATAAAGGGGAAAAAGGAAATGATCCTAGATTTGCCCACCTCCACCCTGCTAGACCCCTGGCCACCTCTTTTTAGGATTGGGAAACCTGTGACCTGTACAGCAACCACTGGCTGGAAGGGGCCTGTGAGAAAGTGACGCATGTGCTCATCTGTGTGGAGGGATCTGAGGACCCCTTTGTCACTCATGATGTTGAGGGGGGAGGGGAAAAGAGCCTCCCCTCCGTGGAGAGGTTCAGGCCCCAGACAGAGGGACAAGAACACAGCACAAGGGGCAGACAGATGGCCTGTGCTGCTGCAGATCAAGGTAAGACTGGTCACAGAATGTTCTGGACTTTCAGGTCCTCCCTGCAGTCCAGGTGGAGAGCTGCCCCTGCCCAGGGGCATTCTAGGGTTTCATACCCGAGCCGTCTCACCAGCACTTGGGAGTGCTTCCATGAATTAGCACTGTATACGTATTCTCAGAAGCTCACAACAGAACAGTCTCCTTATCTCAGTTTGGGGAATTTTAATCATGGTAACTGCTATCTATTGAGAAACCACACAGCCACCTGAGAGGTAGATATTATTCTCTGCACTTGACACAGAGCTGGGGAGGTCCAGGCTCTCCCTACCACCCTGCCCTGTCTCTTTCTCTCTCATCCAGGTACATGCACAAAGGTGCCATCTTCTCAAAAAGGATTTTCTGCCTGGCCCAGAATTTTTGACACCGTTTGCCAGCCCTCGTGAACACTTCTGCCTGGCTTAACCACACAAAACTCTGTAAGCCATCAGTCACAGCTTTATTAAATCTAAATGCAACAAGTCCTAAAAATAGAGTCAGCCAACCTGGGTTCGGATTATATCTCCTTAGTTACTAACTGTATGACCTCACTCAAAGTACTTATCCTCTCTGAGCCTCAGTTTCCTTGGGAAGAATGGGAGGGATGGTGGGGATGATCAGAGTACCTGACTCTTTGAGTTAATGGGAGGATTAAATAGGATAATGCCTGTGACGTGCCCAGGACGAGGCACAGACTGTGTGCTCACTGTGAGTGGGGGTGATCATCCTCTCCATCAGGGTCTGAGATTCCTCCAGCAGAGATTCATTCCACGGAGACCTTAAAACTCAGTCCCCACCTGGAGGGAAAAAAACAAATGTTAAGCCTTTATCTGTCAATGGTGTTATAAATCTAACATGAAGAGGTATGGCTTGGACAACTTCGATGGTGTCTTTCAACTTTGACAATTTTTATTAAATATTTTTGGGTGATCTGGACCTTGGAGGAAGTTGTCACAGAAGAGAGGCCTAGAGGCACAGGAGGGAGGAGTCAAGAGGTAAAAGAAAGCCTGTTGCAAAGACATGATGCTCTTTAGAGGAAGTGTTTCTTCAGGTTTCTGGGCCAGTCTGATTGTTTGCATGGTGGTCCCTTGAGATCATTTTCATTAGCTATTAGAGGCAAAGTTCTTCCCTGGTGGCTCAGTGATAAAGAATCCTCCTGCCAATGTAGGAGATACGGGTTCAGTCCCTGGGTCAGGAAGATCCCCTGGAGAAGGAAATGGCAACCTACTCTGGTATCCTTGTCTGGGAAATCTCATGGAGAGAGGAGCCTGGCGGGCTACAGTCCATGGGGTTGCAAAAGAGTTGGATATGGTGTCTTTCAACTTTGACAATTTTTATTAAATATTTTTGGGTGATCTGGACCTTGGAGGAAGTTGTCACAGAAGAGAGGCCTAGAGGCACAGGAGGGAGGAGTCAAGAGGTAAAAGAAAGCCTGTTGCAAAGACATGATGCTCTTTAGAGGAAGTGTTTCTTCAGGTTTCTGGGCCAGTCTGATTGTTTGCATGGTGGTCCCTTGAGATCATTTTCATTAGCTATTAGAGGCAAAGTTCTTCCCTGGTGGCTCAGTGATAAAGAATCCTCCTGCCAATGTAGGAGATACGGGTTCAGTCCCTGGGTCAGGAAGATCCCCTGGAGAAGGAAATGGCAACCTACTCTGGTATCCTTGTCTGGGAAATCCCATGGAGAGAGGAGCCTGGCGGGCTACAGTCCATGGGGTTGCAAGAGAGTTGGACACGACTTAGCGACTAAAACACCGCAACCAACAACATTTGAGGCAAAAGCAGACAAAGCTGATGTTTCTCCTGAATATGTGTGATTTGCAAGCACCATCAATCAGTCTTTCAATATTGTCATTAGTATTTGTTGGACACTGTGCTAAATACTTTTTCATTTAATTCTCAGTCACAATAACTATCCATCCTTATCTTACAGTTGGTGAGACAAAGCTCAAGGTCGTAAGGGAACTGTTGGCATTGAGTTTGACCCCCAAACAATCTGAATCTAGAGCTCTGCTCTCAAATACCACTGCTTCCTTCACAAATGTTTAACAGAATGTGATGCTTTCAGCCTGGTCCGAAATTCACTTTGTAGTTACAGCATCTAAGTGGTCCTTGTCCTCTGCAAACTTATCATTCAGAAATAGTGCCTACTGTGTGCCAGGAGCTAATGTAGCCTGTGGTTGGAAAAGATGCTGCTGATCCACCATTACTAGGGCTCAGAGCTGGACTGGGTTTGTGTTAGGACATCTATACTGTCCTAAGTCCTCTGGTCTGAGGGCTGCACACTTTCATAGTTACAGTCTCGGAGACACAGTCATGAGCCAGGGATCAGAGGGCTCCTGTCTTCATATGGGAAACGAACTGGCTTCCAGGTGTAGGGGCAGCTCCCTGAGGGTTTCTAGATCACAGAGCTTTGGGGCTGGAAGAGTCCTTGATTTCACCTGCACTTTAGCCAATGTGGTTGTACCAGCCAAGCTGAGGAAGCCAATATAAACAAACACAGAGGAGGGACCCTTATATGTGGTCAGTGTATGGTTCATTTCACTCTTGCTTGGAAAACTCTGTTCTTTTTTACCTTTTGCAGTCTAAACTCCAATCTTTCTTTTCTCTCTTTTTTTTTTTATAAAACTTTTGACCATTTCAGTCATTTGTCTCCTTTTCCTTCAGATGTGAGGGCCATTTATAACCTGTTAACACCCACGTTGTTGTGTTCTTTTGGTGTTCTCTCATTGTTTCGTGTGGAAGGGTTTTGTTTCTATGAGGCTCTGGTACCAGGCGCAGTGAGTGCTTTGAGGAGTGGATTTGTTTTCATGAGGATAGTGCCAATGCACCAGAGGTATTCGGTAAATGTGGACTAAAGAACTGAAAGCAAGGAGAGACGCTATCTTCTCCTCTGTCAAAGTTCCCATTGAATCTAGCACAGGACAGGGCACATGGTGGATGTTCTTTGGCACAACTGACCCTCCACAGATGAAAGATTCGTCTTCTGCCTCCCCTCCTCCTCCTTCCTCTTCTCCTTCTCTCTTGGCAGCCTTATGCTCATACCCAGAGGCCATGGAGTGTGCTGCATGGCCTGGGAGGAGCTATCCCACCCTGTTTACTTGCCATTGGGATTTTCTAGCTTGTGTCTCTTGTCAAAGACATAAGTCATGGCACACTCTAGGAAGGCAAGGGTGTGGCTTCCTGACAGGCCCCTGTGTATCTGGGGGAAAACAACCTTAAAATAGGCAGCCGTTACTGGAGGTTCCCCTTAGGGTTCCAGTGAGGGTCAGCAAACTAGCCCACGGTAATTAGAAAAACATGGAGCCTTCTAGGTGGACTTCAAAGATGATCTATTGATATTTCAGTGATTTGCCAAACTTTTTGTAATAAAGCTTTTGACCCCTTCCTCAAATGAAAGCTTACCCAGAAGCCCATAAGTTGAATTTAGAGTTTTTCTGGCTGCAGTGGAATATGGTTCCCAGCGCTTTGTGTTCTTGACTCCTAGAGGGGCTCAGAGAACCCCACAGAGCTTCTTGGAGAACACTTTGAGAATCTATGTTAGTGACTCTAGGGAATAATTTTCATTTATTTTGGTGACCCAGCATCTAAATTGACTTTCCATTCTGGGGGAACATGATAAAGATATAGGTACACTTATCAAAAATGTTTGATTCAACATGCTACCTCATGTATCTGGGATTTCTAATTCTTTTCTTAGATGGCTTACTGAAATCTGTGCTCAATAATAGCCTATGTGAAAATAAGATACCAGAAAAATTTCATGCAATGTAAAGAATCAAAAAACTAGGTAGATAAGAAGATTGATAATAGATTTATCACATGTAATCTGCTCACCCATCCATTAACTGTATCCCCCAGCAAAGACTAGAAGATGCTTCCTTTACCAAGGCACTGGGAAATACCACAAAGGGAAGAGCCAGCACCCTCGAAGAGAGCTTCTGTGGCTCTTATCTTTATGCTGGGTGAGTGCTGTAGCTGAAACAAGATCCTTGATTTCACTGGGGATACTAATATCCCCAGGGGAAGAGACCAAGGAGTGACACTTTAAAAACCTCCAGGGGCCAGTTGGTACATGTATTATTTAATGTTCTTAATTGCAACATAATCCATGCCGGCTGGCTTAAACAGAAAAGGGATTTTATAGAAGGATATTAGGTACCCATGCAGGATGCAGAGCCTGGGGCTGTGGGGAGGCTTTAGCGAGGCGCCACTGCCCCTTGGCACTGGGGATTCTCAGGACTGGAAACCAGGTGCTCTGCACTCTCACCAGCGCAGAGCTGGCTGTTTCCACCGTGTGTTTGGCAGATGTCGGGTCCACTACACATAGCCTCCTCTTCGTTTTGCTCACTTCTCAGTCCAATTTTCAGACAGATCTGTTGGCAGATGTCGGGTCCACTACACATAGCCTCCTCTTCATTTTGCTCACTTCTCAGTCCAATTTTCAGACAGATCTGTCTGACTTGTCAGAATCTAAGTCACATACCTGCAAACTAATGGCAAGAGGATTTCAGAACATGAGAACTTTTCGTTGGGCACATTATTGCACTGCAATAAATGTTGTTTCTGCTAACTAGGAAAAAGTAGAGAGTGACAACTGGGTAAGCAGCTAACAGTGTCTAATACTGCATGGTTTCATACAGGCAGCAGGCTAGTATGGTAATCAGAATATCCTCAACCCATAACTAACTTTGACTAATTGATTATAAAGTCTTTTGCACTGAAATTCATGGACAGTTTTTTAAAAGCTTCTTGGTTCATATAATCAAAACAAACAAGTAGAAAACACCAGATTTAGAGAACAGGACTCTCTTTTGAGTCACCAAGTATGGGGATTATTGTTCCTCACTCAGTTTCTAAACTTGGGCCAAAGACTCAGAACCCAGGCAAATTTGAGGAAGGACCTAGTAATTACATCACAAGTATATACTGCAGATCTTGTTCTTGGCTGTCTTCAAAGAGATCTAGAGCCTTTTACCAAGGTAACAGTGACTTGGTGGGAAGGGAGACATCAGTACCTTTTTAGATCTTTTATTGGCTCTGAGCTAATTCCTGAGGATATAGTTTACCACTGTGATCCAAAGATCAATAGGGGATTTTATAGGACTTAGGTGATTAATGAGTCTTTTGGCATCATTGTTGACATCCAGTGTACCCTCAAGCCATTTTTTATTATTTTCTCAGTTCCTGACTGTATAGTTGAAATAGATATATCTAGTATGAGGCAGAATTAATATATTGTTCACTTAATGGTTTTCTTAAAAGTTTTAAATAGAAGACTTAAAGTAGTAAATCAAAAGCAATACTCTAACCCTGGGGGAAATTGTCAAATCTACCAGAGACTCAAAGTGTACAGTTGTGTTATGCCTATGACAACCTCATTTAAATCACTTATCTGTCTGATGCAGAAAGTGGCTATATCTTGGTGAATGGCTGTAGATCATTATAAAAGTGATGAAGTGGCTTCCAACTATAGCACTTCCAGATATGGATGCCTTACTAGAGAAAATAACCCAGTCCTTGACACTTGCTCTGCAGCTACTTATAGGTTGGTGCTTTTTAAAAATTCAGTTCCAATACACGGTTTGCTTTCACCTGGCAAGGATTGTAGTATACTTTATTGCTCCAGCACTCCATCTCTATGTCACAACTTAGTCTACAGAGATATTTAATCATCTCTTCATCTTACAAGACATCAAGTTGATTCAGTACATTGACAATATCATGCTGATAGGTTGTGAAAAGCAGGAGATGTATGTATTATAAAATACCTAGGTAAGATACATGAATATAGGAGCCTAGGGGTTGAATTCCATGAAAATGTGGGCAATAGAGACATATTTTAAGGTAAAATTTTATGTAATTTAAATCAGCATGTTGTTGCTATTTTATATTTTTCATTTATCACCACTTTATATATGCATTTAAATATATGTGGACATTTTCAGTTTTTACTCTTAGTTAAAATGCCATAGTCTGCTTAGCTTTGCTGTCCCATCATAGCTTAGGTTGTTATATTTTGTTTCTTTCTATTTTAAGTGCTATTTCTGTAAATGTCTTCATATAGATATAGATACACACATATATATTTATATATATTTGGGTTTTTCCTTAGAATATATCCTCTAAAGTGACATTACTATGTCAAAGAGTGTAAGTCTTTGCTAGATATTGTCCGATTGCTCTCTAAACAGATTGAACTAACTGAAAATGCTACTGAGAGTAATTATTGTAGTCCACTCAATTATTGTTTTATTTTGGTTACTTTTAATATCATGTAATAATATAGGCATAAAAGACGATTACTCCTTGGAAGGGAAGTTATGACCAACCTAGATAACATATTAAAAAGCAGAGACATTACTTGGCTAACAAAGGTCCGTCTGGTCAAGGCTATGGTTTTTCCAGTTGTCATGTATGGATGTGAGAGTTGGACTGTGAAGAAAGCTGAGTGCTGTAGAATTGATGCTTTTGAACTGTGGTGTTGGAGAAGACTCTTGAGAGTCCCTTGGACTGCAAGGAGATCCAACCAGTTCATCCTAAAGGAGATCAGCCCTGGTGTTCATTGGAAAGACTGATGCTGAAGCTGAAACTCTAATACTTTGGCCACCTCATGTGAAGAGTTGACTCATTGGAAAAGACCCTGATGCTGGGAGGGATTGGGGGCAGGAGGAGAAGGGGACGACAGAGGATGAGATGGCTGGATGGCATCACTGACTCGATGGACATGAGTTTGAGTAAACTCTGGGAGCTGGTGATGGACAGGGAGGCCTGGTGTGCTGCGATTCATGGGGTTGCAAAGAGTCGGACATGACTGAGTGACTGAACTGAACTGAATAATATATGCATTTCTGTAATTGTTAGGAATCCTGTGTATCACACAATGTGATTCTTTGTCATTCTATACTTTGTTCATATTATTCTGGTTTTCTTGGCAAGTTTGTAAGCCTGTCAGTGGTAGAAGCTGTGCATCACCCATAAATCTATCTATCTGTTCATCATTTATTAAGTGTTTATTATATTCCAATCTAGACACTATGATAGGTTCCAGGATACTGGAGAATAAAATGCAGTTATAAAAGGAGGGAAAGATGAATTATCAACTTTTAGAAGAGAAAGCAGTACATGTAAAAAGGGCACTGAAAAGTGAGTATTATGTGACCTCCAAGAAGAGAATGAACAGGGACACTTTGGGAGAATGCTGTAAAGTTGGGTAACTTCTGATAGGATGATTTTGGCTCCAAATAATAGATAGCTGATTTAGATAGTGAGACAAAGTTATTATCTCATTAAGCAAGAAGTTCTGAGGTAGAATGCTCCAGAACTGGCTAATACTTATTGTAGGTCTGTGCTGTGTAGACACAGTACTAGAAGTCATGGATACCGAACAGAGTAAATGTAACCCCAGTCCTGCTCCCAAGGAGTTCATCATGAGGGTTGGTGTGAGGCGATAGGTGAAGGTTGTGAAATAGATTCACATGCTGATAATATGAGCTTGATATTACATCATTGATAATACAAAAATGACAATTGTCATTTATTGAATATCTGCTATGTTCTACCTAAGAACTTTACCTAGTTTTCTCATTTAATCTTCACTGCATTGAGAAAAATGAGCCTTAGGATTAGGTGCCTTGTTCAAGTCCTCCCAGCTGGTGAAGGTGAGAACCAGATCTCACACTGAGGTCTGCTGACTTGGAGCTCATGCTTTTAACCATGCTGCTATGTCATCTCCTGGTCATTAACCCCAACACCAGGTGCCACGTGTTCCCAGAGGAAGGCTATGCTCAGGGTGTCTGGGGTAGGGCTGTGAGTATTTTGTAAATGAAGTGCAAATGGAAGGCCAGAGCAGAAGCCAGATGAACAAGACTGGGAAGGTCTTGGAGCCAGCAGGAAGAACATGTACAAAGACTCATAGACATGGGAGAACTGGGAGGTGGGCTATGTTAAGAGTTGGGATTGGAGAAGGAGGGTGGACCAGACACAGACAGGCTTGTATCCCGTGCTTAGAGGTTTGGATTTGTCTCATGGGCAATGAATATTTTCCGAAGTTTTGGAAGCAAAGTTGGGTTCTAGAAAGACCAACTTAGTCGTGCTCTGGAAAATGGATTTGGAGGGGACATGATCCCAGGGAGAGCAGCTAGGAGTATTTATGATCCAGGTGAGAGAAAATTAGGGAGGACAGTGAAATAACTGATAAGACATTTTAGAGATAGAATCAAGAGGATTTAGTAATTGATTAGATTTGGAGGTAAAAGGAAAAGAAGATTAAAGGATGACTTCCATATACCTGATTTGGGCAACATAGTAACTCTGTATATTCAGGAATCCCTGCATTGTGGGTGACCACAATACTCAATTCCAATTAGCTTAAGTAAAAAAAAAATGTAGAACACCTATAGGTGGGTAGAAACTGACACAGCTCCTGGAGTTGAAAGAAGAGATGTAGGTGTGAACCAAGGGCTCGATACCTCTAGGGTATAGCCTGTGTCTCATCTTTTCCTGTCTTGCTCCAGCTGTTTCCACATGCCAGCAAAGATGACCCACTCCAGTTTGCCTACCCCAGTGGAGACAACTTCTCCCACCACAGGGCTGCTCTGGGACCAGTCCCTGTGTCCAGGGGAGCGGGGTTCTGTGCTGGTCAAGCCAGGATCGTCTGCTCAGTCGTGTGCACAGAAGAAGGGAGATGGTGCAGAATGTACTGGGCAGCCCAAGAAAACACGGTGTGGTTCCCTTTAGACGCTGTTGGCCAAGACAGAAGGCAGTGGAGGAGTGGCGTTAAATGGCTCTCAGCCCTCTTCTGATTTGGATGTGTGGGATTCACAGCATCAAAGCACTCAGCCGGCTCCAAGTGCCATAATAATTTATTGAAATCAACACGCTGGTGAGACAAGGAGCCTGACAGACAGCAGATGGCTCCCACACAGAAAGGCTAATCAATTCTGACAAACAACAGCCATCGTAAAAGAGGGGAATGTACATAGCATGCACACACAGGTCTGAATGGCGCAGAGACAAAGGCTCCTGCTTGGCCTAGCCAGGACAGGGAGATAGCACTGTGGGAAAGCCTAGGCATTTCAGATGCTCATCACTGACCTACTGACCTACTGACACCTACATCTCTACTGACTCCCATGGGTCACCCGCAGAGATCTCTGCTCCGTTCACACCTGACTCTCCGGACTTCTCAGACATGCCTTAGGCTTTCCCAATTCTGTGCCTTTTCTCCTCCCTCTCTCTGCCTGGGAGACCCTGCCCCCTCCCCTCTTTCTGTCCCTCAAGATCTGACCTAGTCCTCCGGGTCCAGCACAATTCCTCTCTTCTCCTGAAGGCTTGCATTGTTAGTGCGTCATGGATGTGTTTGTGGCTAGCTGTCTTCACGAGATTAACCAGACTGCAAGCTTCCTGAGAACAAGTGACCTGCCTTCCTCATTTCTGCATACCCAGAAGCAGGTAGCACGGGACTGTGAACTAAATTTTTAATGAAGGATCATTAGTTTGCTTTTAGTCTTGGGGTGGAGTGAATAATATTTCTTAAGAGATAGAAAAACTATTTGCAACATAACGGTAAAAGATGAATGATGTTAATATATTAAAATCAGCCTCTAAAAATCAATAACACAGGACAAGAGACCCAATAGGGAAGTCAGCAATGAAAACTAACAGCAAATTCACTGAATAGCCCATACTTATGAAAAAGGTCAACTTTACTAGTTATCGAGGAAATACAAATTAGGACAATGTGATTCTAATTTTTGCTTATCAAACTGGGAATATTTAAAAATGAATTCTTCAGTGTTGGTAGGAACGTGGTGAAACAGCTAGTCATTTGCTACAGAAGGGACTGTGCATGGATACAGCCTTCCTGGAGAGGAAGCTGGCAATTTTTTAAAAGAGGCTGAAAAATGTCCATGCTTTAAAAGTCTGTAATTCTGCTTCTAGAGTTTTATTCTAAGAATGTAACCAGAGCTGTGCACATAGATTAGGTATAAGGATGCATATGTTAGTATGACGGTGACTGACTCTGATCCTCTCTTATTCAGTGTCTAGAAGAAAGAAAAAAAGAAAAAGAAATGGAATTTATACAGTTCCTTCCCATTTGCTTGATTTGACAATCTTCAAAAAACTCCTTAAAAAATCCTGAAAAAAAATCTGACTCGACTCTCTCTTTTTTTTCGACTTCTCTTAAAAAAAAAAAATCCTGAAAATTGGTTTGATGCCTGCTGGAATAAAGTGACTAGCTTCCTTTCTTTTGATTCTACTCTCTTTTTATTCTACTCTTTTTTATTCTCTCTTTTTATTCTACTCTCCCTGGAGGACCTGCCCTCAGGGTCTAAGCTACTGCAATGAACATACCGGTTTCCCATGCAGCTTCCATCATGTTCCTGCTCACCTATCAGGTCCTGGGAGTTTTAGGGGGATATGCTATTCTGTTTTAGAGACTCAGTGGGAGTACAGACAGGAAGAAGGAGCCTCCTTTTATTATTGCTCAGGCTACTTAAGCACTGTCAACTCATTCAAATACCTATCCACCCATCCACCTACCCATCTATCCGTTCATCCATCCATCTATCCATCCACCCATCCATCTATCCATCCATTCATCCACCTATCCATCTATCTATTCATCCATCCGTCTATCCTTTCATCCATCCATCTATCCATCTGTCCATTCATCCACCTACCTATCCATTCATCCATCCATCTAAGCATCCATCTCTCCCTGCACTCCCAACATTGAGGGAGCACATGCTATGTGCCAGAAACTGTCATGGGTTGGGTGCTAGGTTTACAGAGGTAATGGGCATGGTCCCTGCCACCAGGTTACTCACAGCTCAGGAGCATGGTGGATTGTAAAGAGACTGTTCATTGTTTCTTCTGGCAGCACACATGAAGCTCTCTGGAGCACAGAGGTGGGGGATCTAATTCAGATGGTGAATCACTGGTGAATCCCAGAGGGAGAACCTGAGCAAGGCTTTCAAATTTGTCTGTGAGCCCACCCTGTAAGAGAGCAAGGAGGGGGAGCATTTCAGAGAGAACCAATAGCACGTGTCAAGGTCTGAAATTGAGAAGAAGCATGACTGTGGGCTTTGGCAGTTAAAGGAGTGGGTAGAGATGGAAGGGCAAGGAGACATGAGGGCATCAGTGTCTCTTTGGAACTGCCCAGGAACTTAAGTTTTATCTAGGAGGCCAAGGGGGGACATTGGAAGGTTTAAGTGAGAAGTTTTAAATATGTTTGAGAAGTCAGGCTGGTAGCAGGAAAGGGATGGATGGAAGCGGCTAGAGGCCAGTCAGGACACGATTGCAGAGACCCAGAGAGTCACGAGATGTTGCAAAGGCCAAGTTGGCACAACTGAGGGACAGAACACGTGAGGTGAGGGAGGGTAATGAGGGGTGCTGCAGGGGTGAGGGGTGAGGGGACATCAACAGAAGCTCCCAGGTTTCTGGTGTGAGCTTACTGATCTAGATTTAGATGTTGTCGGGAGGCAGAGAAGATGATTCCTCCCATTTTCCATTTCCTGTGGAAGTGAGCTCCATATTCAACCCTCCCCTCTTTCTCTTCCTCTTCTAGACTGTCTCCTGGAGCTTTTTGGTCGTAGCTGTTGTAGATGGCCCAGACATAACCCTGTTCCCCGGGGCCAGCATTCACACTATTTCCTGGACCACAGATGGCTCTCCTGATAGCAAGATCAATAGCCTGGTCTCAGGGATGGGTAACTGAGGACCCCTGTCCCTGCAGAGAAAGTTCCTGAATGGAGTCTATACTTCATTTCATGAAACGTGCCTGAGGGAGAGTCTCCTTTGTACTCAGCATAGGGCAGGGCACTATGCAAAACAATCTAGTATATATTGATTGCTCTTTTTTTTCTACTTTCAAGGCCTAGTTTAAGTGACAGTTAGTTGTCTTACAAAATCTTTCCTATGTCCTTACTCCCACCCTGGGTTCCCCTGGGTAAACCTCTATTACATTCCATTCACATTGAATTATCAGCGTTTGTTCAAGCATTGGTCAAGCATCTGTCCTTTTGGATAGGCTGGACTTTCTTGGGGTCAAGGGCTACGTGTATTCCCCCTTTCCCTCTAGCATATGCCCATCTTTGCTCTTCCTATCCCCTAGCACTTTGAATAGTGCTTCACACACTTATTAACCATCACTGGGACTTCTAACTTCTTTAGTTGGGTTACTCTGTTGTTTATTTCTTTTTTTTTTCTTTTATTTATATTAGTTGTTTATTTCTTAATCATGAACAGTCACTTGCTGAGATTGTTGGGGGTCAGACACAAAATTTTTCTAAACTTATCACTGTGGACTGAAGCTCTTGACACTGCCTGGTAACCTGATTTCCTCTGATTGGTCTGGTGTGCTCGAGGGAAGGCATTTGGCCTGGAAATGTGATGCCTTGAAGATGCCATAGGAAGCAAAACACTCCGCTTTCCGCTTGGGAATGGGACTTGTGCCTTTAAGACCTGTCTTGGGAAATCAGCCCGAGCAACATAATTGCAATGAAATTACCCCAGATCACACCCACACATTCATTATGAGAGTCTTTATTGACACCTTGACAATTTGTTTCAGAAGACGTTATTGCATATTCCTCCCCCTGGAATAGATGCAGACGCATATAGACATACGAGCCCACGCATAATGTATATGCATATCAGTGTGTTTTTATTATATAATTATATGAGGCTATCAATCAGTTTTCATTTGGAACTCTTTGCCTTCATAGTTCAGGAAGTTATTTAAAATCGAGAGGTGGAGGAGAGAGAGCCTGAAAGAACTAAAGAGGAGGCCCAAGATTGGGTAAACCAATGAGTGTGTCTTTGCTATTTGAGAGCTGAACTTCCCCCATCCTCCCACCCATTCCTCCCCCCTTCCCTCTCCCATGTCTTTCTACTGGTGGGGACTCAGTCCTGGGCAGCACCCACAGCAGAAGGGTATCAATGGAATAGCTCCAAGGAGAACCACCTCAAGGTCATAAGGTGCCATCTCTGGCCCTTGTAGACTTTTCTGTTGGGTTTGGGGAAGGCTTATAGTTACAGTGATCTGCTTTCAGTAGTAAAGGGACAACTGACTTCTGGGTGTCCATGAAGGTCCAAGAAGGTCCTTGAGGATCAAGAGAGATACCTTAGAGCAGGACTTTCCGAGCTCTTAAAGTCAGGATACACATGAAGATGAGAATCTTGTATGGCACGTTGTAGTAGATTGCAGGGGATCTGGGGTTCTGTGTGAGATTTTGAAGAAAAAGTCATCCCATTTTCTCTCTATTATGCAAAATGAAAAAGAAAATATGGTATACTGGGAAATATCATACAATATGTATGGCCTCAGAATAAAACATTTTCCTCATTTTAATGAGAAACTTGAGTTTGCTTCCTTCCATGATTGTAACTGTTTCATATCAGAGTTTGTGTTTGAAATGGCTGCACACCATGCCTGATCTTTTAATGATGATCTCTACAAATCGTTGGTGGTCACTCTTGATAAGAAACTTTGTTTGCACAAGTGGGTGATAAAAAATTTAAAGCCATTTTTTATAATCATTAAAGATTCATAATGGTTGAAATTATGTTTAAAGAATTCAACAGCCTTCCTTTTCTTTCACTGACAGATGTAGTGTTGAAAGTTTTTGTGATGATGCAGGTGGGTTTCAAGTCCAATTGAACTTACTCACATCAGGGATTCAGAAGAATGATGGCATTCTCATTTGCAGAATATAGACGGGGTGTGGGAGCTTTCACTGTGCAGCTGCTTTGGCTGACACTTAAAGGATACAACTCACTGCAAACAGACAAAAGTAGAGGACATATGTGAGATCAATCCAGGGTCACTGCCACTGCGTGCGTGTGTGCGTGCTAAGTCGCTTCAGTCGTGTCTGACTCTTTGTGATCCTATGGACTGTAGCCTGCCAGGCTCCTCTGTCCCTGGGATTCTCCAGGCAAGAATGCTGGAGTGGGTTGCCATGCCCTCCTCCAGGGCATCTTCCTGATATAGGGATTGAACCTGCATCTCTATGTCTCCTGCATTGGCAGAAGGCTTCTCCATCACTAGCGCTAGTGCACCTGGAAGCCCCATTGCCACTACACCCGCCAGTAAACCCCACAGCCTCTCTGCCCCTTTTCTCTGATTGCTACCGTTGGGGCTGCACATGGCGCTCCATGGTATGTGAGCTGCTGGAGCCTCCCATTAAACTTTGTGTCAGAAGGGTGTGCGCTCAGTTGCTGGAGTAGGAGTCCAGCTGTAAGGATCCCATTGGTCATCTTCATGGCAACTCTGAAGAGCAGCATGGGTCAGATGTCTCATGGGAAGCACAGTGTTTATTTCCAATCCTGTCGCCTTGAGTGACCTGAGGAGCCACACATAGGTTGCTTGTGGCCACAGGAGACCATCCCCAGGTACCCTGTCTGCCCCATGACCTTAAATGCCCCATGCTTCCCACCCCCAAGTCCTTTGTTCACACTTTGACCTTTCCTAGACTGTTTGTTTTGGCTGCACCTTGAGGCACATGGAATCTTGGTTCCCCAATTGGGTATCAAACCCACACCCCCACAGTGGAAGCACAGATTCTAAACTACTGGACCACCAGGGAAGTCCCTCAGAGTGTTTTCTTATCTTCTGTCCTCATTGTTAAGTCCTGCCTGGTCTGCAAAGCCCCCTTCAAGCCCTTCTCCTCTTCCAAGGCTTATCTGACTGACGTGTCCCACAGGAACCCACCTCCCTGGAGTCTGCCCATGGGAGCCCTGAACTCACAGAAATTTATGTGACATTTAAAAATCTAAACGGGCTCTTGTTGTGGTGAGAAAATGAGCAGCCAAGTGCACTAGTGTCTCAGGGGCTCCAATCCTAGGGACTCAAGAAGAGACCATCTCTTGTTCATCCCCACATGATGCCTTGCACAGAGTAGGCGCTCCAGTCATATTATCCAAGTGATTAATAGGGAGCGACTTACACACAGTGGAAACGATTCATAATGATGTTGCTTAATAAATTCTATG